AAAAGTCCTTCTTCACTTTCCATTTGTATCCAGCTAACATATATACAGCATCCTCAGGGATCTTCCTAGTGGTAAGCAGGGCAGGATTTGGCCATTCTCAGGTCCCTGGAGATATCGTCATATGACATAAAATATCCATTTCAAATGGAAATTAGGAGATATTTTAGTTGAATAATAATAACTGTATGACATATCAAAACATATGGGATACAGCTAAAGCAGTAATTAGAGGCAAATTTATAGATTTAAATGTATTCATTAGGAAAGAAGAGAAGTTGAAAGCCAGTGGTCAAACTTGCAACTCAAAGAACATAAGAAAAGCAGCTAGTTAAATCAAAGAAAGTAGAGGAAGTGAATAATAAAATATGATCAGGGAAAAAACCCCAAAACACAATTTACCAACATTCACATGAGAAAGTCAAATGTATGAAGAACCCCTTAGCTGTTAAATTACCTGAATCCATAATTTAAAGCCCTCTCACAAGTGAAACTCTGCTTAGATGGCTTCACTAGTGAATTTTCTGAAAAAAATTTTTTGAATTAACAAAAGTACTACAGGAATTCTTCTATAGATAGAAAAGAAGAAATGAATTTCAGTTCATCTAATGAATAATAGATGATAGACAATAATAATCATCTTTATACCAAAATCTGATGTAGACATTGAAAAGAAAAAGTTGAATATCAGTATCACTCAGGGACATGGGAACAAAACTTCTCAACAAAATAACAGCAAATCAGTGTTGAAATATATGAAAAAGATAATGCAACATTATTAAGTACATTTTATTCTAGAAAATAAAGTTGGTGCAACATTTGAAAATCAATTTAATTTGCAACATTAATATATAATCATCCCAACATATAGAGGAAAATATATTGATAATTTGATAAAATTCATTCTATATTTATAATAGCAACTCCCAACGAATTAAAAATCTCAGTAACTTCCTCAATAATTAGGTTAGTTAGAGGATATTTACCAAAAACAACTCACTATAGTTAATAGTCGTGGTGAAACACTGAATGCTTTAGCCTTGATTTTGGGAATAAGAAAAATTCTATTCAACATTTTATAGATAATCCTACCCAATTACATAGGGCTTGCTACATAATTTGTGGGGTGCAAATTGAAATGAAAATGCAGTGCATTTTGAGATCCGAGAAAATACAGGGCCCCCAGTCGGGTAGGGAAGTCAATCTTCCCTTCCCTCAGGCCCAGACCTATGGGGACTGGTGAGGGGCACTGGAGAGCCTCTGGGTTGGTGAACACAGGGAGGTGCTGGGAGAGTGATGCACCCAGAGAGGGCATGGAAGCTCTGCTCCCCTTCTCACACAACATGCCCTATGCATCTCTTCCATCTGGATGTTCATCTGTATCTTTTATTGTATCCTTTCACGATAAATATGTAAATTGTAAATAAAATGTTTCTCTGAGCCACTCTAGCAAATTAATCAAACCGAGGGGGTTCGTTGGAACCTCCAATCTACACCCAGTTATTCAGAAGCACAGATGGTAACCTGGGCTTGTGATTGGTGTCTGAAGTGTGTTGGGGGCAGTCTTGTGGGACTGAATCTTTAACCCGTGGAATCTGATGCTATCTTCTGGTAGCTAGAGTCAGAATTGAGTTGAATGGTAGGACTCCCAGCTAGTGTTGCAAAGAATTGTTTGTCGTGGGGACAAATTCCCATACTTTTGTTGACCAGAAGTGTCAGAAGTGTGAATGTTTTGTGTGGATAGTAAAGGAGACTCACAGGAAAAAAAGACATACAAGGAATAAATGGGTTTTCCCTTATATACGAAAGAAAAAAGAATCTGTTTTGTTTCAATACACAGCCTTTTTTATAATAGCACCAAACTCTAAACAATCGAAACAACCCAAATGTCTGTTTCAAGGAGAATGGATAAGTAAATTGTTGTATATTCATACAGAGGAACTCTAGACATCAGTAAAAAAGAATGAACAACTGATACACAAAGCAGTATTAAGGAATTGCAAAGATGTTATTTTGAGTAAAGGAAGCCAGATCTGAGAATATATGCTGTACCGTCCTGTGTGATTCCAGTTGCATGAAGTTCAAGAATAGGTGACAGAAGTCAGAATTATGACTTCTACCCCTCCTACACTTCTAGCGTGGAGAATGGGAGGGAGGGCTGTTGAATTTCAAGGGGCAGGTGGAGTTCGTCTGGAGTAACACAAATGTTCAATATGTAGATTGAGTTGGTATTACATAGATATAAATAAGTGTATAATTTCATTGAGTTGTAGGCCTAAGTCTTGTGCACTTCATTATATGTGTTGTACCACAATTACAAAAAAAAAAAAGAGAGAGAATAAAAGCAAAGATACAATATCTTAAAATATTGACATAAATATCAGTGCCATCACCTGAGAGTTATATGTGAGTCCATTGGGGAGGCAAGATGAGTGTGTAGAAGAGTGAGACCAAAAAATTTAAAAAAATTAAAAATATATGAGAGTACTATTTTGATAAAAATAAAATTTATTTTTAAAAAGAATGGAAAAAAGACTGCTGAGAATCTCAGACAAGATGAGGGCTGAAAAATATCTGTTGGCTTAAACACCAAAGCCACTGATGTTAAGATGAGAGCTTCTTTTGGAGTGCTGTCAACAGAAGCCAGATTCAAGCGGAGGTGAGGAATGGGAGTTGAGGAAATAAGACAGTAAGTATAGACGATTCTTCCAACCAATCTGATTATTAAGGAGAAGAGAAGTATAGAAATGTGGCTGGTGGAGATACGAGCTTCAAGAAGACCATATTGAAATGGGAAAGATTCACTTATAGACATGTGACCAGATTATTACGAGAGAATGCAAAAAAAGAAGTTGTTTTAGGGAAGAGCGTATATTCCTGTGCAGTTTCTTTTCAAGTGGACAAGACTAGAAACCAAGCCTCTCCAGATCACAGCTGTCCCTCTCAATCGATGAGAGGGAAGCTCTGGGCTGTTATGAAGAGCAGACTGACCCATGTAGAGGCAAAGGGCACTGTCTAGGATCCCTGGACGGAATGAACAGTAATCTCTGGCATCTGGCCGTGTCAGAAGACTTCCCTCTATAGGACCACTTGGGAAGAGGTTCCGGGTGCTAAGTAAATACTTCTTTGAGGAGGATAAACAACAGAGATGCCCTTAATCCAGGGCCGCAGCTGCAGGGTTTTGGCGCAGGCTTGCAGGTGCCTGGGAGCACTGTGTCTCCACAGCGCAGAGGTAAGTGGCTGAGTCTTCAGGTTTGGAGTCTGTGATGTGCAGAGAACTTCCTTTCTCGAAGAGTGTAGCTCTTATTCTTTCTTTATGCTCTGGCTTCCCAACTGAGGACAGGAGGAAGAGGAATTCAAGGCCTTTCCCAGGATCCTGCCTATACCACTGCAGCCCTCTAAAATAGCTGACCGTGTAACTGCAGTTGAGGCTGAGACTGTCTCCCTCCTGGCGTCTCAGGGTCTGAGGACTCTGCTCCACCTGGTCTTCTCCACTCAACCCTGCTCAGAGAAACAAAATCAGAAACGATACAAAGCTTTCAGTTCAGCAGTTTTGAGAAATTCCAACAAGAAACCCGGCATGAGCTGAGGCTAAACCCCTCTCCCTTCTCCCCAGCTTTGGATAAATTTGCCCTTATGGTTCTCATCTCTTTGCCTCCAACTTACAGCCAAACTGAAGCCACAAGATTATGAAGACACATTCCAGCATGTTCTCCATCTTGATATCTCAGTCTTGATATAATTTGTGATGATTCCAAACCCTTTCTTCTCCGAGGAGCTGTTTCTGTGTCTTGGTTCTTGTTCTCTAATGCATGAGAGAGCCTTTCTGTTGGCAGCTCAGCCAATCAAAAGCAAATCCTCTAGTAACTGTCACGCTTTTGATGTTTAAGACATTGATGGAATGAGAGGAATGGAGCCACTGCCACCTCGTGGTCATGAACACAATATCACAGTACTCACTTCACACCACCTATAAGTAAAAAAACTGAGGGAAGGACAATTTTTATATATGGTGAGCACAGTGTGTATGAGGTCAAAGCAGTGATCAGAAAAGCCTTCTCTTACCTGCGCTTCTAATTGTTTCATTGTTCCTTCAATGGCTTTAAAGTTAAACTGCTGCCAGAGGTTATAAAAGGGTTGATCTCAAAGGTAGGTGAAATTGATTATAATACACAAGAACCTCAGCAGGTGGAACTTTCAAGGGGTTAGAGTGTTGAAAAGAGGGGAGTCAACTAGGTTGTGGAAATGTCTGCAAACCTCTTTGACAAAGAATTGGGAATATAAATTAAATCCATTTCTCCAAATAATTTTATGCCTGGCTATAGGGACCAAGTGTGACTAAAACTCAGGGTCACAAACTTGATCGATCTTGGGGGTGGTGGGGGAAGAGTCTGGCAGAGGGATGAACTCTCCATTTCTAGATCTCAGAGAAATCAGAAAGTCACCTGGGGGAGTACAGGGAGTAACTATTATCTCTGCAAATCATAAACATTTTACATGACATAAATAATATACAGTAAAAGTAGGTCTTCTTCCCTCATTTATCATTCAGTACCACAGTTCATTCATAGAGGAAACTACTTCTATCACACACACACATTCATTATTTTCAGACAAACCTATACACTCCACTCCATGATTTGCTTTTTTTCCCCCCGCAAAATGGCCACATGGCATACCATTGCATGGATACACCACATTTTATTTCAGCAGTTTTGTATTTTTGCAATTTTAAATTATTTCCAATCTTTTACTACCACATATTATGCTGAAATAAATATTCTCATACAAAGATATTTGCCAACATGAACATAAAAATTATTGAAAATGTAAAAACTATGACAAAGGATCCAGGCATTTTTCATTTAATAGGTATGGCCAAATGTCTCTAAAAAGCAGTAGCAATTTACAAATTTACAATGTGTCAGTGTCTGTTTCTCCACTCCCTTGCAAACATATCATATAATTAGTTTTCTTTATCTTTCTTAATTTAATAGGTAAGAAATGCTAATCTAGAGAACCATTTTTTTATTTCTCTATATTGGTCAAGCTGGGATTTTAAAAATAACCATTAAATCTATTTGCATGTCTCTCTTTGAAGAGTCTATCCAACATTCTGTTTAAGTGTTGGCTTTGGAGTCAGAACGACAGGGTCAAACTAGCTCTATAGTTTATTTGCTGTGAGATTCTGAACAAGCTCCTCAATGACTATCTCTGTGACTTAGTTTCCTCAATTGAGTGATGGATAAAAAATAGTACACATCTTATAGAATTTCTCTGAGAATCATTTGAAATATATATTGACATCGATAGATATATAAAGTGTGGAATAATGGCTAGGACACAGCAAACACTCAAGTAATATTAGCTATGCATTATTAATGCAATTTTCTTCTGGAGAGTTAATTTTATTGGTTTGGAAAACCTCTTTATAAACTAAAGTACATTTTCCCTGTTTTTGTATTTTTTATTCCATTTTGGCATTTGATTTTGGATTTCCTATAGTGTTTTTGCAATTAGGAAATGTTTGAGTTTACATATTCTTTTTTTTTTCTTTTGAGGAAGGTTGGCCCTGAGCTAACATCTGTGCCCATTTTGCTCTATTTTATATGTGGCACCCCTTCCACAGCATGGTTTGATAAGCAGTGGGTAGGTCCGTGCCTAGGATCTGAACCAGTCAACCCCAGGCCACCGAAGTGGAGCCTGCGAACTTAACTGCTGCGGCACCAGGAAGGCCTCTGAGTTTATATCTTCTTATTTATTGTTTATTCAAATGTATTCACTTTATTCTGCCTTCTGAAGTTTGAGCCTTGCTTAGAAAGTCTTGACTCACTCTAAGATTACTTGTTAAAAATCCTGAAATTTCCTATTATGCTTAAAATTTAATATTCTAAGCCTACCATTTTGAATTATTTTGATCTATGGAGTAAGGTAAGAGGTCAATGTTTTTTAAGTGGCTAGTCAATTGCCTCAGCATTATCTGCTGAATGAGCTATTGTTTTCGCCCTGATTAGTATTAACTTTGTAGGATGGTAATTTCCCATGTGTAATTTGTTTCTATTTCCTTCTTCTCTCTTTTCTTCTATCAGTCTACCTACTTATACATTTGTTGGTACCAACTATTTTTAATTATTTTATTATATAATACTATTTTATAAGTTTTATAATACTATTTAATGTGTGATAGATTTTGTCTCCACCCCACTGCCATTATTCTTCTGTTTCAAAATTGTTTCTGATTTTTTGATATTTAGTCTTCACTTGAGTTTTAGAATCAGCATGTCTAGTTTCAAATAATTACATTAAAATTGCAAAGTAATCACATTTTAGACAATATCACGTTACTACAAAAGTAAGAATTTAGAGAGTACCTCATGAAAATTAACTTCAATAATATCCCGATTTAAATTTCAAGCTGTTTTTCTAAGAATATTGAAATTAGCAACAGTGGGCTAAGATATATATGGCAAAACTAGCATTGCTTAATTTGTTTGATTCTATGACACACCGAAAGATTTTGTCATTGAACACGTGTTTATCTTGTTAAATTATCCACCATTTATATAAATTCTCTTTGGACTTGTCTAGATAGCACCCTCTAGCCCCATTAGCTACAACCCAGAGAAAGAGCATCAGCTGTCAGGTGCACAGTTTCACGTCACTCCATCCCACTCCGTAACCAGAGAAAATAAGCTACACAGAGTTTATCGTGCTAGCATTGTAAACAACCATCATTGCTCTTTGGTTTTTTCTTTGAGAAGTGGATAATTTCTCAGTGACCAGAAATTTATTACACTAACTTGTATACAATTCATCATTCACTGATTTGATCTATTCTAGCCAGACTTAGCAAACCGTGACCCTGACAAATCATATTTAAAAGGCAGCTTTTCTCTGTTTCTGAATATGCGCATCTCAGAAAGAAGGTGACACAGATCACTGCTTCCTTCCCCACCTTCGCCACAATCAGTGCAGTGGTCCTCTGCAGGGAGGGAACTGAAAGGACCGAGGGTCTGAATGTGTGATGTGCAACAGAGCCAGAGACGATGACTCACAGTTCAGAGTTTCACAAAAATTGCGTTTGATTTTTAAAAATATTTTTAATTTGAAAGAATTATAGATTCATGGAAGCTTCAGAGAATGTACAAGGAGGTCCCAATGTCCCTTTCCCCAGACCCGTCTAGTGGTATCTAAATCAGGAAACTGACATTGGTACAATCCACGGAGTTTATTTAAATTTCCCGTTTTACATGCCCTCGTGTGTGTGTGTAGTTCTATGTAAATTTACATATGTACTGATTCATGCATGCATGTATATCATATGTATAGATTCACTGCCACAATCAAATGCACATCTGTTTCATGACCACGAGGCTTCCTCATGCTACCCCTTTGTATTCACACCCAACCTCTCCTCTGTCATTAACCCCTCACAAGCACTACTGTGTTCTTATCCCTACAATTTTGTTATTTCAATAGTTATATAAATAGAATTATACAGTAGTAACCTTTTGAGATAGTTTTTCTTTCACTCAGCATGAGTAATAAAAGCATCAGGTCTATCAAAGTTACTGTGTGTATCCAACCTGTTTGTTCCTTTTTATTTCTGAGTAGTATTCCATGGTATGGATGTGCCACGCTTTGCTTAACCAGTGATCCACTGAGGGGCTTTTGGATTGTTTCCAGTTTTGGGCTGTTATGAATAAAGCTGCTATGAATAGTCATGTACAGGTTTTTGTGTGAATATAAGTTTTCATTTCTCTAGAATAAGTACCCGAGTGTAAAATTGCTGGATCACATGGCAAGGCATGTGTGTGAGTTTTATAAGAAACTGTCAAACTATTTTCCAGAGTGCCTG